TACAAAAGGGGGGGTTGTGGAAGCAGAGAAGAACTGACAGAAAGGAACTGCAATGCATGACAGTTCGTTAGCAAGAGTCAGGCTAACTGTAACCCTAATAACGCGAGATTTGTAGAAGCGAGGATTGTGTGAGGCGGGTGGGAAAGAACTGTGTGAGAAGTTGTTGTGACCTTGTATAGATAAGGTGTAGAAGACCTTGTGTAGATAAGGTATAGAAAATATTTTCTGTTGGCTAGAGTCAAAACAAGTGAGGAAATAAGATATCAAGATGGCCTATGTATAAACAAAATGCAGCTGTCCCTCATTATTTCTGTAATGAAAGGTATAAATGCTTGCTGTAATTAGTTACCTGAGAGAGACCTGCTTAGCTCTCTCCCTCTGCACAATTGTGAGAGTTAATAAAGCATCTGACTTGCTGTACCTAAACAAAAGAGTGAGAACTCTGTTTTTCTCCGACATGGATATGAGTCAACAGTGTACCCTTGTTGCCAAGAAGGCTAACGGCATTTTGGGCTGTATAAGTAGGGGCATTGCCAGCCGATCGAGGGACGTGATCATTCCCCTCTATTCGGCATTGGTGAAGCCTCATCTGGAGTACTGTGTCCAGTTTTGGGCCCCACACTACAAGAAGGATGTGGAAAAATTGGAGAGAGTCCAGCGGAGGGCAACAAAAATGATTAGGGGGCTGGAGCACATGATTTATGAGGAGAGGCTGAGGGAACTGGGCTTATTTAGTCTGCAGAAGAGACGAATGAGGGGGGATTTGATAGCTGCTTTCAGCTACCTGAAAGGGGGTTGCAAAGAGGATGGATCTAGACTGTTCTCAGTGGTATCAGATGACAGAACAAGGAGCAATGGTCTCAAGTTGCAGTGCGGGAGGTCTAGGTTGGATATTAGGAAAAACTAGGAGGGTGGTGAAGCACTGGAATGGGTTACCTAGGGAGGTGGTGGAATCTCCATCCTTAGAGGTTTTTAAGATCAGGCATGACAAAGCCCTGGCTGGGATGATTTAGTTGGGGTTGGTCCTGCTTTGAGCAGAGGGTTAGACTAGATACCTCCTGAGGTCCCTTCCAACCCTGATATTCTATGATCAGGGGAGGTCCCAGATGATTGGGAAAAAAGCAAATATAATGTCCAAATTTAAAAAAGGAAAGAAGGAGGATCCGGGGAACTACAGGCCGGTCCGCCTCACCTCAGTCCCTGGCAAAATGATGGAGGATGTCCTGAAGGAGTCCATTTTGAAGCACTTGGAGGAGAGGAAGGCTGATCGGGAACAGTCAACGTGGATTCAACACGGGCAAGTCATGCCTGACCAACCTGATTGCCCCGTGACAACATCCCTGTCACCCTCACGTCCCATTGAACCAGCTAACGTCCCTGTTAGGGCTAAACTTTCTTTCGTCTAGGCGATATTGACTGCCCAGAGCCACTAGCTCACCCTCTCTGGTGCCTGGGCCACATGCAAGGGAACAGCTACTGCTCTCGATTATGCTACAGCTCAAGAGGCAGAAGTCTGCACCTGGTGGATCAAAGGTCCTTGGTCTGATGATGAGTCGGGGGGGGGGGGTCGGTTTGGCTCCCCAGAATGTTGAGGTTGGGAGCTGTACAAATACAGGAAATGACACAAAAAATGTGCAGCCGCCTTGTCTGTGCATGATCCTGGGGGCAGGAGGACAAGGCCGCTGTCTCTGAGCAAGACCCACCAGCACCAGGGGTCGGTGCCGGATGTGCAATGGGCAGAAACATGCCCGGACACAGGCTCACTTGTGCAGCAATCCCTCTGCACTGCTCCTCCCTGGTCCAGCCAGCCCCAGACGAGCCTGTCCCAGAGACATGGACTGTCCCGTCGCCCCAGTGCCCCATGACCCCAGCCGGATCTGGAGCAGCTCCACTCTCAGAGGACAGCCCGGCAGAGCTGGGTCACAACTGTGGCTTATGGAGGGTCCCTGGTTTTGAACACGTAACATCACACAAGGGGCTTCCCAAACTGTCTGGGCGATGCTGCTCCACACACTCCCCAGGACATTAGGAACCAGGTGGTTGTTAGGGTTCAAACGCCCCTCACCAGGTGTGTCCGCAGCCGGAGGCTGGCAATGGGGGCAGGGGAAGATGGCAATGGGGGGGTAAGGAGGGCAGGGAGAAGATGGCAATGGGGGGTGGGGGGTGCAGGAAGAGGCTGGCAATGGGGGCAGGGGGGTGCAGGGATAGGATGGCAAGTGGGGGCGGGGGTGCAGCCAGAGGCTGGCAATGGGGGCAGGGGGGTGCAGGGATAGGATGGCAAGTGGGGGCGGGGGTGCAGCCAGAGGCTGGCAATGGGG